GTCGGACGCTTAACCGACTAAGCCACCCAGGCGCCCCTAAAAAGATTTATTTTTTATAACATTTTTTTAAGTTTACTTTGAGAGCGTGTGGGGAAGGAGCAGAGAGAGAGGGGGAGAGAGAGAACCCCAAGCAGGCTCCCTGCTGTCAGTGCAGAGCCCCCTGCAGACAGAGCTTGACCCCAGACCAAGAGATCACAGCCTGAGTAGATATCAAGAGTCTGAGGCTTTACTGACTGAGCCACCCAGGTGTCCCCACACAGCATTGTTTTATAAAAGAGGGGACACCCTTCCAAGATAAAAGACTAAATCTGAAATACTATTTTAAAATTAATTATTAACATATTGTCATGAAGTTTTATAGTCAACTTTAAAAGATAGTCCTGCTGCGCAGCACTGTCAGCCACGAGTTCATTTCTGAAGCGACTCTTGCACAGGAGGCTGCCCCCTTCTCTTCACCTAACATTAAATCTCATTTCTCTCTCCTTTGCTATGGAGGAAATACGCTCCCCCATGGATAAGAACTATGAGGGCACTGACCTTCACCGCGGGCAGGGCGCGAGGGCCTCCTCCCTTCCTTGGGAGAAGGAACACATGACCTGAGGTGCACAATGGCTTCCTCTTGAGGACACGTGCTGGTTTGCAGCGCTTTGGAAAGGACTTCAGGTGCAAAGAAGTAGATGCGCTGGGCTGAGGAGACACAGAACCTGAGGGACAAAGTTCAGGCAGTGAGGGAACCACAGAGAAGGAGCTCAAATTTCTACATATAAATTCTTACGTCATCACCAACTCCCTCAGTCGCACACACGCAGAAAGATGTTCTGGAACCCTACAGGGAAGAGCGGCTAGAAGGCTCACAATGTTCTCTGGAGATTCAGCAGCTGTATACTTCCGGGGAAACCGAAGTTAAAGTTCACGCCTCTCCCAGTTGGAGGGAACTTCCTTATCACTGCTAGCTGTCATGTGAGACTTCCGAAGCATTACCCCTTAGCAGTAAGTGACAAGTCTTAAGAACCACACAAAAGGAGTAAAGGCTATGTCTTTGGCATAAGAAACACTAACACACCAACTATAACAAAGGCTCGATCTTACGTATTTCAGAAGGACTACCCAAAAACTCTGAATGTTTGCAAGGAAAGCAATACACATCTCTGTAATCCATGGGCCAAAGAAGAAAACACAATGGAAATTAAAAATTTTTCTGAGCTGGATAATAATGAAATACAATATATCCTAATTTGTCTGATGTAGCTGGAGCCATCTTTAGAGGAAAATTTTTATAACTTTTTATTTTTATGTATTTTTTAATGTCTATTTATTTTGAGAGAGACAGTGTGATCAGGGGAGGGGCAGAGAGTGAAGAAGACACAGAATCTGAAGCAGGCTCCAGGCTCTGAGCTGTTGGCACAGAGCCCAATGTGGGGCTCAAACTCATGAACTGTGAGACCATGACCTGAGCTGAAGTCCAACACTTCACTGACTGAGCCACCCAGCCCTCCTAACATTTTTATTTTTCACTGCATATATTAGAACAAGAGAAAAGTTGAAAATAAGTGATTTAATTTTTTAATCTTATGGCTCAAGAAGCTGTAAAATTTAAATGCAAAAAGTAGAAGGCTCTATAAAAATAAGTGCAAAAATCAGTCAATGGAAAGCAGACATATACCAGAGAAAATCAACAGAGCAAAAAAGCTGCTTCTTGGGGTGGTCCCTGGGTGGCTCAGTTGGTTAAGCAGTTAAGCATCTGACTTTGCCTCAGGTCATGATCTCACAGTTTGTGGGTTCGAGCCATGCGTCAGGCTCTGTGCTGACAGTAAGCTCAGAGCCTGGAGCCTGTTTCAGATTCTGTGTCTCCCTATCTCTTTGACCCTGCCCTGCTCATGCTCTCTCTCTCCCTCTCTCTCTCTCAGAAATAAACAAAGCATTAAAAAAAAATTTTTTTAAAGCTGCTTCTTTGAAAAGAATGATAAAATAGATATACTCTGAACAAGACTAATCAAAAAGACAATAAAACACACAATGCCAGCAGTAGGAATGAAACAGATGATATTCATATATACCCTAAAAATATTTAAAGAACAAGAAAGGTATCATAAACATCTTTATGTCAATATATGAGAAGCATTCAATGAAATGGATACATTCCTTGAAAAACACAATTTAAAACAACTGACACAAAAAGCAATAGGAAATTTCTATTGTCCTATTCCGATTAAAGAGATTGAATACACAATTTAAAAAGTCACCCATGTAAACCTGCAGGCATAGACAGATTCATTTGTAATCTTCTATGCAAAGAGAGATGAAATCAAGCCTACAGAAATCCTTTTAAAGAATTGAAAAAGAACATCTTTCAACTCATCATATGAGGCCAATATAACTGTGATCCAGAACCTGAAAAGACATTATGAGCATGGCGTATTACAGGTTCAATAACTCTTATAAACAAAAGTGAAGCTCAAAACTATTAACTAAGATATTAGCAAATCAAACCAAGCATACTTTTTTAAAAAGCTAAAACATGACCAAATGGACTTTATTCTAGAAATTCAAGATTGGCCTAACATTTTAAACATGTAATTTACCACATTAATAAAATAAATGTGAGAACCAAATGGTCATCTTATTAGACACAGAAAAAACATTTGATAAAATTCAGTATCAATTCATGATAAAAACGCAAAAAGTGCCAAATAGAGGGGAATTTCTTTAGTCTCACTAAAACTATAAAATAATACCTACAGGGGCGCCTGGGTGGCTTAGTTGGTTAAGTGTCCGACTTTCACTTAGGTCATGATCTCGCAGTTCGTGGGTTCGGGCCCCGCGTCGGGCTCTGTGCTGACTGCCAGCTCAGAGCCTGGAGCCTGTTTCAGTCTGTGACTCCCTCTCTCTCTGACCCTCCCCTGCTCACGCTGTCTCTCTCTCTCATAGAAATAAATAAAAATAAATAAATAAAATAAAATAAAATAAAATAATCCCTACAGTGAACCCAAGTTTGGGAACATGACCAAGATGTCTATATTATTTCTTTTACTCAACATGGTGCTGGAAGTAAAATCTAGTGCAATAAAACATGGAAAGAATAATTGATATTAATACTGGGAAATAAAAC